ACATATCAATACTTGATGAAAAATACCTGTTCCATATTATGCCTAAGATGTTTGATATGCAGACAGATAGTGAGGTTAAGCTTAACAGCCTAAGTTGTATTTTAATAGCAATAAGCTTCTCTTCTGGATGGTTATCAACCTAAGTCTGCAGACCAAAATTAGAGAAAAAGGAGGGCTACAAGGAAACCAACCTTTTGGCCCTAACCTTCTAAGGTCAATTAAGACTCAGGACATATGAGAACTTGTACTGTAACGTCATATAACTCGGTCCCCAATTTTCTGATCAAGGAGATTATGGGGTCAAAGAGGAAACTGATCGATGATGTAGAGTGTGCCTAAGAAGAGTCACATGGAGAGAAAACATTCTCTCAGGCTTTCACAGTGAGCACATTGACCAAGCAATGGCCATGACTCATCCACATGGCTGACACTGACAAAGTTTCTACAATCTGAGGTACAGGATCTCAGGATAAATCCTAAGTGGATTTCACTGACCTTATCAGACCCAAAAGCTACAACTCTTGTTGCATAGGTCCTGTTTTACCTTGGTCTTAACCATCCAGAAGAAAAGTATAAACATGAAATATAAAAAATAAAGCCATGCTGTTATAGTGAGCTGTGAGGGACTCAGGCCATCAATTTGTGACATTGCATGTGAAGCAGAACACCCAATTCTATTGTGGGCTGCTGGACTCTTTTGGAATGTTTTCCTGAGTTTACACACCTATAATATTCAAATAACGGAACTTAGCAAAAAAAGGTATACAGATGAATGTTCATTTTGTATCTGTGTATTGAGAGTTTTTGGATAGATATATAGTTACATTCTCTTAATGAATAGAATGATTTGTTCTAATGGTGTTTGTAAATAGGATGTCAGGTCCGCATCTTGTACAGCAATTAACCACTGAGAAGAATGTATGCAGTGTTAGTTATTGAAACTGTTCTACCAATTTGATTTGAAACTGTCTCATTGCTATTTGTTTATCAATAAAATTATGGCAAACAAAAAAGAAAATGTGGGCTAAGGAGATAGCTCAGCAGTCTAAAGCACCTGCTTAGGAAGCTTAGGAAAAAGTGCATGAACCGCAGTTCAATCCTTATCCCCACATGCCACACAAGCCCCGCCACCGTGGAGTGCTGAACTGGCCACAAAAAATTAAAAAAAAACATAAAAAGTAAAGCAATCTTGTGAAGAAATGGAAGTAGTAGACTTTTGCACAGTATTCCACCAAACAACATCGTAACATCTTATGGAAGAAAGAATAGCTATCATCAAGAGTTAACCCATAACTAATGCTGGAGAGGGTGTGGATAAAAAGGAACTCTTCTCCACTGTCATTGGGAGTGTAGCGTGGTGCCACTGTAATGGAAATAATATGTAGATTCCTCAAGGAGCTAGGATTGTAGGTCCCATTCATGCCAGCTACTCCACTCCTAAGTGTTTTTTCAAAAGAGGTGAAATCATCATATCACAGCAATATATGTGTGCCCATGTTTATAGCAGTGCAAGTTATCATAGCTAAATCATAGAAACAACCAAAATGCCCACCAATTGAGGAATGGATTAAAAAGATGTGGCATTTTTACACAATGGAGTATTATTCAGTTCTAAAAATTATAAATCCAAGGATTTTGTTGATAAATGCACGTAACTGGAGTCTATATTTGTAAGTGAAATAAATCAGATGCATTTGTGCATAGTATTATCTCCTTAGTGTGAGAACCTGAAAGAATACTTAAATTCTGAATGGTATGATAGTGTGAAATGGAAAGAATTTGTTCAATGAGAAGGAAAAACTGGGATGAGAAAAAGGACAAGTGAAAAAGGAAAAAATGATGTATTTATGTATATGTGCTGAATATTTTGGATAATTTTACTGCTGATTTCTGGTCTTTTAAAAGGATCAGCTAGTGCTTAATTTTTTTTCTCTTTTATTCTTATTGTTTTTAATTTCTTACACCTTTTTTGCAATTTTTTTTGTTTTTTCTTTAAAACAATATTTGGTAAACTGAATAACTGATTGGAAGAGAACATCATTCAATATAATTAATAACCATTGTTGAATTCCTAAAAAAATACAATGTGTATATTAGACAGAAGATTCTTGATTATGATTGTAGACATATATCATTTATGGGACTATGTACACTTGGAGAGAAGTTCGCCATATGCATTTCAGTTTTCTCAGCTTCTAGTAGAATATTTAGCATGTAGCGGCTATTATCAAACCAGAATCATATAGATTAAAAGAGATTTAAATGATGTTTAAGTGACACAAACCAAATACACAAATACAGCCATCAGTGGACTTTCTTTGCAATGGAGTTAGAACAAATCACTAGGAAGGAAGAACATATTCTAGGCAACCAAATGAATTAGCACCGGGTTTAGATGGTATAAAAGCCATACTACCAGCCTTGTTAGATGTCACAAGACTGTATGGTTATGGGCAAAATTTCGTTTTTTTTTTTTTTTTTTTTCCGTACCAGGGATCAAACAGGAACTTGCACTTGCTAGGCAAGGGTTTACACCACTGAGCTATCTCCATGGCCCCAAAAGTTCTTTATTTTAAATTTTTCAAGTGCATGAATAAACATTTAAGTATAAAGTCACTCACTGGCTTAGATTCACAATGCTGTAACCATTTGAAAGCAGGAAGAAAGAGAATATTTTAAACAAAAATCGCAAAATTGTCCCTGAAGCTGGGTAATAGGATATAGAAGTTTATAGCATTTTCTATTTCTATGTATATTTGAAGTTTTTATTAATAAAAATATTTTCCTTAATAAATAGTTAATATCCTCTACTGCTTTGGCAAAGGAAAGGGATCCAGAGGGGAGTAGGTGGAGAGCTCTCTGTGGGGACCTGAAGTAGGGATGAGGAAGGGGTCCATGCTAGGGTAGGCAGAGCCCCTCACTCACCGGTATAAGCCCCTTTCTTTGTCAACCACCTCTGTAGCCACAGGCCCCATGGGACCTTGGAAGTCATTTTCAGTGCCTAGAGGCTCAATGTGATGGGTTCCTGAGAAGGCATGAGAAAAAAGTTAGATGGGCTCCACCTATGGTCCCTGGGGAAGCCTCCCTCTAGAGCAGGCAAGGAAATGATCAGCTCATTGTTGTACTGCCTGATTGTCCCTGACCCTTTCTATTGGCTCACAGTGGGGTTCTTCCTATTAACCTGCCCAGCTATGACAAGGAAGGTGACAGCAGCCTCTGTCACTGATCTTGGTTATTCCTGTTATCTGATGAAGTATATTCTACTGTGCCCTAAACTACCCTATACCTATCTCCTCCACCCACTGGATAGGAAGTGCCTCCATCCCCGTGGGCATGTTAAGGCTATCTCAAAAACTGAACAAGCTGACAGGGATGCAAAAGGAATTCCAAGGCTTCAGCAGGCAGAGTGGGAGAACAGGCCTTGATGCTGCATCTGGCGTATACTATGGATCCTGGACGGGGAGAGTACTAATCCCTGCAGCTGAAAGACAGGGATATAGAAAATTCCTTTAGGTTCTAGGAGTGGATGGTGTTGTGTGGAGAAAGGCAGTCTAGGTGAAGAATCTACCCCATCCTATAACAGTGGAAGGGAATGGCATCACTCATCAAACAGTTATGCTCCCTCACCATGTTGTTTCCATCTGGCCCCTTGAGGTACCTGACTGTGATCTCTGCTGGAGTGATGATGTGCTATTATCGATTATTCTTCCATCTTGGTCCTCAGGAGAATCCATCACACTTCGGTTCCTATATAAGTAGATATTTATTTTCTTTCTGAACCCAGACAAAGGTAGAGCTGCCTACATGACATACTACTTCAAATACTCCTTGCCAGAATGTGAATGCAGGCCCTGCTTTCTTACATGGATCCTACCTGTGTGAATGGCCCTCACTCATCCATGCATCTGCCTCAGTCAGAATTGGGGTATCAGTCTGACTCTTGCCTTGTTGCTATATCTCAGTGATGTCTCCCAAAGTTCATGCACTGGGGAACTAGTGTCTGGTGCATCAGTGTTAGGAGCTGGGAACTCCCGAGAGTGATGAGATCTTGAGGGATCAAGAAGAGCTTAATATCACAATCACAGGGATGAGTTTGGGATGGTGAGAATAGGGTTGTTATCAAAATAATTTCATACCATGATTTCCCTGTTATGTGAATTCTCTGGCTCTTCTTCCTTTTGTCATAGGAAGGCCACAAGAAATGCCTCTTGAAGTGTAAGCCCCTCACCCTTGTGTATCCCAGCCTCAAAAACTGTAAGAAACAATAACTTTTAAAAGAAGAAATGATATACTCTGAGGTAATGTTATGGCAAGACAAAACATTCACATATGCTCACCCTACAGCTGCACACCTTCAAAACCCTTCCCAAAGTGCTGTACTTTCTATTCTCTCCTTTTCACTTGCACAGCCTCCAACCTACTCTCCAGTCCTGGTATCTGCCTGAATGCCTGGAACATCCTCCTAAAGATTTCCTGCTTCTACTTGGGTCCTTCCTGCCCTATTCTACATAGAGGAGCTGATTTTAAAATATGAATCCAGCACATTATTTCACCACTGATCCCCATAATACTTCTCCACTGCTTCTGGAGAAAACACAAAGCTCTTACCATTATGACACTGTGTCATGATCCTTGCAACCCTCACCCAACATGCTCAGTACTTCAAGAGCAGTGGTTCCCAAACGCTGTGTTCTTAGGAAACACCTGGACTACTTGTCACAACACACATTTATTGGAAAAACTGGAATTCATCCCCAGAGATTCTGTTTCATCAGGTCTGATTGTGGTCTGACAATTGCTTTCCTCTGTAAAGGTGATGCTGCTGTGGGCCTTGGACCATATTTTGAATAGTGCTGCTCCATATACAAGGCTTACTCCTGTTCCTACAAGGAAACTCAGATTTTTTCTTCTTCTGAACCTTTCCCTCTTTCTGGAATTGGCAAGTTTACCTTTCCAATCTTTCAGAGCACAGCTCAGTTTATTTGAGTAATGTCAAACAGGGACATCAGTACTTGCATACCAACCATGGGTGCTATTTTGCACAGTTGGAGAATTTATTCCTGAAATACTGCTGGATTGAATCTTGGAGTTTAAATAATGTCTGCCTTGTACTTTCCTGTGTTCTTATATCCTCAAATACCTGCCGCAACATTGATATACAGGGAATGCTTGCTCAGCAAATTGATAACTCCCTCTAAGTCTAGAACCCCTTTATTTTCCATGTCAGGTGAGGCATAGTAGCCAGGAACTGGAAGAAAGCTGTATTTCACTTTCATGGTCCTAAACAAGTCAAGCTAAGAGCACCTGGGGGCTGCAGTTCATGTCTTGGGAATGGGAGATGGGGTCTTCTGCACTGGAGTCCCTCTAAAGCCCAGTTTATGTTGACATCTGTGTGTGGATGGATATGTGGATGATGATGTTGGTGTGATGGACATTGTTCTTGGCAAAGGTCTTTCTGGATCTTTGTTTTTGTCTTTTCTTGTATTCACCATTTGCATTGTCTCAAACCTTCTTTGTTAATTGAAGGAACCAGTTCTAGAGGCCACTGCTTTTAATACTGTGCTGAGGCTAGAGGATTCACTCACTCACTCACTCACTCGCTCGCTCGCTCACACACTCATATATGCTTGATCCAATGGAAATTTTTTGAGACAGGCAATAAAATAATTTAAATAAACATCCTATCTCCCATTGGCTATTCTAATTTTTTGGTTTATCTTTCACACCACAAGACTCTTCTCATTCCTCAGCCCTTCACTGAACCTGAGTTGGCCGTGGGCATTCCAAGCCTGGCACTTACCACCTGCTGCAGATTTGCAAGTGATGCTTCTCTTCTTTTAGGGCATTTAGTTCCTTGCTCAATTCTTCATTTTGAAAGGTTTGGTCCAGACTGAAAGCACAAAGGTAAGGTCCAGCTTGTCAGCATATTCTTGTGTTTCATAGCTCTCAGTAGAGCTTAGAACACATGTGTTTAGCGACACATAATCAGTGTTCCCATCTCTTTTCCACTAGAAAGTCAGCTGAGGAAGGCAGAGCCTGTATGTTTTTAACTATCACATCTTTAGGTCTTGGATGGGGAGAACAGAAATCATGCTTTCAATGAATAAATAAATGAATGAATGAATGATGAGCACCTTATGGTAGTGTTAACCTCAGAGGCCCTCATAGCGTGCACCTCACTAGTAAATTGCATTCCATCATGTTCTTATTTTTCTTACATTATTTTCTCTTTTTGCCTTTTGCAATGTTGGACATTTTATCCAGGACCTTGTGGTTGGTAGGCAAGTGCTCTAGAACTGAGCTACATCTTATTTTCATCTGTTTATTTTCATTATTATCAATAAGTGGCTATGATATTCCCATTACATGGGGGAGGAAACTAAGTCTTGTAAGACAGTGACTAACTCAAGTCACACTATAAGTGACATGGCTAGGAAATGGCCTGCCATATTAGGTATTTATGTGTCTATTTTCTATCCCTATCACATCAGTTAACACTCAACTTCCACCCTTGTCCTGTCCTTGTTCAGGAGGGCCCCTCTGTCTTTACCACAGAAGTGTGAGTCGGCAGTTGGGGTGCCTGAGTCCTTCAAAGAGCTGCTGCACACCGTGGGTGCTCAGGTCATTCTGTTGTAAGTCCAGCTCCATCAGGCTGGGGTTGCTGCTGAGCAGAGAGGCCAGGTTCTTGCAACACCTGGATGTGAGGCCACAGTTGACCAGCCTGCAGGAGAGAAACACAGGACCTCGCTGTCACTATTGTGGGGGGTCCACTGTCACTGCTCTGGGTAACTGAGGCCTGCTTGCTGTAGTATTTGAGAGAGAGAGAGAGAGAGAGAGAGAGAGAGAGAGAGAGAGAGAGAGAGAGAGAGATATCTTCCTGACTTGCAGTAAAATGAGACATTTTAGTTTTTGTCTTGCAACCAGAACTCCTGAAGGATGCAGCCTATCTCTCTCCATGTGGGATCCACATAAATCCTGCCAATGAATCATGTCAAACTTATGTGCATTATTCACTCCAGTCTCATGTTATACCTAGGTTAACTGTTAACCATAGTTATACTGGCACGTAAAGAGAATGAGCAGACATAGATAGGATCCTCTTGTAAATGCCAATATTAAGGATGTCTAAATGAAGGTGAAAAAATGACTGAGTTTCCAATATAAGAACAAAAATTGAGGAGAGTATGATAGATTAAACAGGAATTGAAAGCCTATCCTGGCCTCTCCAGAACATATTAGTGTCTGACTTATGTACTGTCCCAGACCAGGCCCCTATCATTCACCCTGCATGCTGCTCTGAGCAATGCTGAGCCCTGTAGTTGCCTTCTTATAACTGGGTGGATAATTCCATGTTTACTAGATGAAGCCACAATGGAATCAAAATAGGGGTTATTGTTCTGCTACTACCAGGCCCAAAGAGGATTTGAGCTCCATCATATTCAGGACAGACTGAGTCCTCACTGAACAGCAAAAACAGACTAATGATGAACCCATATACTAAAATTCCATGCTGTCAATAAAAAGTATGAATCAATTTTGTAGGTACTGATATGGCATCATCCCTGAATGCATTTTAAATGATTACACAAGCAGCAGGATAATTTCATGGTATACTTTTGTTTATTCAGGAAATGGCTGAGTGTGTGCTATGAGTTGTATACACACAGGTTTTCTCTGAGGGAGTGCTCTCTGGGGTCAACAGCTCTCAATGTCTCAGCCCAACCTCTGTCAACTTTGGTACTTTCAGCTCCCAGAAGAACCTTTAGGATCTGAAATCAGACTAAGTGGGGTAGCACATCACTGGAAAATGCAAAATTGGACTTTGTTGTCAGATCTTGCTCAAATCCTGCTATGGAAATTGGGGAAGTGATTTAATGATTGACTCGTATGTGTTGTCCACAGATGAAATATGGATTCAACATTATGGCAGATTTCTTAACCTTCCAATGATTGATGACCCCTAAATTTAGAAAGTTATCCCAGGTGGCTTCCCTTCCTGCCCTCCCCTTTTAGTCACCCAACTCTTTGCTTAGGATTATTCAGTGGAGAAACAGGCAATGGCTCTTGAAGGAGATTACCTGGCCTTGAGAAGAGGGATGGTAGCACAAATAGAAAAAGAACAGATGTGCTCTCCCCATGATTGAGCAGAAACAAAAAGGAGACCTGATGGTGGGCTCTCTGAGTGAGTGCACAGGATGTCAGGGGTGAGGTCCAAGGAGACTAGGGAGAGGTGAATATTCCACTCTTGTTTTTCCTTAAAGTGAGGCATGGCTGTGTTCCTCAGGTGAAGATACCAGAAGAAGATTGAATTTAGTAGACAGAAGTGAGTTTAGCTTTTTATGGCTAAGTCCCTACCAAACAGGAGGACCTCTTGCTATGGTGACCATGTCCAGTGAGGATAAGAATCAGAGCAGTAACTCCTCTGAGTACTTTACTCATTTAGTCATTACAACCATGTTATGAAGTTGACATTTTACAGTCCCCCTCTGTGGTATATTGTGACAATGGCCACAATCATCATCCCCTCATCCTGACTGACACCTATGCCACTTATTTGTACCCACCCATCAAAAGCCAGAATTTGTTTCTCTATCCCTAGAACCTGGACTTGGCCATCATGGAATCTGTCGTATAAACAATGGGACAAAACAGGAGACTCAACATAAACTTTAGAACTTGCACCTTGTGACCCAGCTTTTCTCCCTGCATTTGAGCCTTGAGGCCATCTACATCAGGGTAGGTACAGGTGAGCTTCATCTGGAATACCCACAGTGCACAGGTCCTCTACATTCCTCCTCAGCCCCAAAGGGGATTGACCTTCTCTCTGACCTGTTCCCCAGGCTGCCACTTTGTCCACCTCCCCACAATTACTAAAAGGCAGTGTCAATGGAAGAGGATCAATTACTGCAGTCGTTGAAGCTTGGACTGTGGACTTCCCAATGTCTGGCAAAGGTGCCGGGCCCCAGAATCTGTTATCATGTTGAAGCTCAGGTCCAGGTTGATCAGCCTGTGGTTGGTGCTGATGCTAATGGCAAGGTCCTTGCAGCCCTCAGCAGTGAGACTACAGCTCGCCAACCTGCAACAGACACACAATTCATGACCTTGAGTATATCTATCACCTTAAGGTTCAAAAAACACCCATACAACTACTGAGCACCCGCTGTTGGCCACACCTTTATAAGCCATGTAGAACTTAATAAGCCCCGCTCATCTCCAGAGTTCCAGAAATACATGCGCTACTGTGGGGATAGGGAAGACACATTTAATAGCAAGTCAGTTTGTAAAAATCAAAATCCTACAATGACCAGTGTAGTTGTCACTCACAGCCAGTTCTTTAAGGCCTATAATCGAAGCTTGATGATTACTGCTGCCAACACGCATTTGTAGATAATTTTACCTTCGAATTTCATTTTGGAAGCAGAACCTCAGTTAGTATGAACTTATCTTAGCCCACTTCCCTTCATCTGCCACCCATTGCCCTTTCTTTTGATGTCATTGTCTCCACCCAGTCTCTTCTTCAGCCCAGTGACCACTTTTCCTGCTGTACCAGGTCAGTATCAGGATCATACGTGAGAAGGGTCAAGGTGGACTGCCTAGCACCCTGGCACATGTGATGATTTAATGAGGGAAATTCTCTCACCTATTGCTGCTCTGGATACATCCTGCATCCTGACAACACAGGTGGGGGTTTATTCTTTTTTCTGCCTCAGATTGGGTATTTAGGGTCATGGGAGCTGTCTGGCTTAACTTGCCCATCTCTTATGAGGCACAATCCCAAATGGACATAGTTCCATTTGAGAGGGGAAACCAAACATTTAGTGCATTTGTACATAACCTGAGTGGTGGGCAATGGCCCCAGACAGCTGCAAGGGTCTGAATATACCCTATTAGTATTCTTGCCTAAGAAGTTCAGCATTAAATATAAAATAGATATTATCATCACGGCTTGAGAGAAAACATTATAAATGAAAGAAAAGAAGCATTGTAGCTAAGTATCATTCACAACAGTTTTATTTTGATTGGGCAACAAGGATACTGCAATTTCATTTTGTACCATGTTTTTTCCCCATAATTTTACTGAGAAACAAATAGCAATGAAATGGTTTCAAATTAAATTAGTAGATCAGTTTCAATAATTAACACATTGCATACTGTCTTCTTAGTGGTTATTTGCTGTACAAGATGCAGCATGACATTCTATTTATAAACACTATTAGAACAAATCCCTCTATTCATTGAATTAAGAGAATGTAGCTGTATATCTATCCTAACCATTTTGAATACAAGATACAAAATAGTCATTCATTTGTATCCCTTTTTTTGTTTAGTTCTGTCATTTAAATGTTATAGGTGTGTTAACTCAGCAAAATATTCCAAAATAGTCCAGTAGTCCATAATAGCATTGGGTCTTTCACATGACTGGCAATGTCAGAAGTTGTTGACCTGAGTCCCTTACAGCTCAACATAACAGCATGGCTTTACTTCTTATACTTTGTTTGTATACTTCTCTACTGGATGGTTAAGACCCAGATAAAGCAAGACCTATGCAAGAAGAATTGTAGCTTTTGTACCTGATAAAGTCAGTCAAGTCCCATCAGGATTTATCCTGAGACCATGGACATCAGTTTGTAGATCCTTTGTCAGTGTCAGCCATGTGGATGAGTCACGACCATTGCTTGACCTCTTTGCTCTCTGTGAAAGCCTGAGAAAATGCTTTCTCTCCATGTGACTCTCCTTAGCCACACTCTATATCAATGATAACTTTCCTCTTTGGCCCCATAATCACCTTGATCAGAAAATTTGGGACACTACTGTGTTACATGATGTTACAGTACAAGTTCTCATATGTCCTGAGTCTTAATTGATCTTGAAAGGCTAGGGCCAAAATGTTGGTTTTTCTTGCAGCCCTCCTTTTTCTCTAATTTTGTTTTGCAAACTTAGGTTGTTAACCTTCCAGAAGAGCTTATTTTTATTACCATACAAGCTAGGCTGTTGAGCTTAACCTCACTATCTGTCTGAATATCAAACAACTTAGGCATAACATGGAACAGGTATTTTTCATTAAGTATTGATATGATAAACTTTAAGTCCCTACAGAATATGACAAAAAAACTTAAAAAATTAAAATATGTTTAAAAATATGAATAAAGAATTAAATATATTTACACATAAGTTTAGAAATCTAACCATATACAGCATTGTAGCAGGACAGTCCTGTAACACTCCTTTTCCTGTCTCCTGCCTTCATTCACCACCAACTTCCTTTTTAAACAATTGTCTGAGAGACAACATGGCGGCAATCAGTGTGTCATGACAAGCAGCACGTATTCAGAAGACCAGAATGACAGGCACTCTAAGCATGAACCTACTATTACAAATTGCCATCTTCAGTGCAGTTGCTTAGTTCACAGGTTTTAGTATATACAGTTAGACAGTGTGAGATTCCTTCCAATTAACTGCTAGATTCAAAAATCTTCTGAAGATTCTCAGGATCATTGCCTTACCCATAATGTATATAGAACTTTATGGCTTTGCCTCTGCCATGTTTCCTAGCTCTTCTTCTTGCTCTCTCTTCATCATCTAGTACTCAAGACCTTGCTTTCCTTTTACTTGTGTTATGTATTTCTATTTGTACTTCTTCTTTTGAGTTCTTATACTCAAGAGAGTACACAATATTTACACATGTGTGTCTGGTTTATTTCACTTATGAGTATATCTTCAAGAAGCATCCACTTAAATATGAAGGCATCGAGTTTATCATTCTTTATAGCTGAGTAATATTCCATTGTATAAAAATATCATATCTTTTCATCCATTCATCAGGTGACAGGCATCTTGGTTGTCTCCAAGATGTGGCCATCACAAATTGTGCTGCTGTAAACATAGGCACACATATATCACTATGATATGATGTTTTCAGATCCTTCAGGAAAATTTCCAGTAGAGGAATACCTGGTTTAAATGGGATTTCCAGTCCTAGTTTCCTAAGGTGTCTCTACAATGATTTCCATAGTGGTTGCACCAGTCTACATTCCCACCAACAGTGCAGAAGGGCTCCTTTTCCCCACAGCCTCTCCACCATTTGTTGTTGGTTGATTTCTTTATGATAGCCATTCTTTCTGGGTAGAGATGGTATCTCATTGTTGTTTTAATTTGCATTTCAGAGTTGGGTAGTGATGTGAAACATTTTTTCATATATTTATGCGCTTCTTTATTTTCGTCCTCTGAGAAGTGCATAGTCATCTTGGATGCCAATTTCTGGACTGTGTCCTTAAATTTTGAGGCTGTTTAGTGTTTTTTAGTTCTTTATAAATTCTAGAGAGCAGACCTTTGCCTGAGTACTTATTTGTCAAGATTTTTTCAGAATTTGTGGGTTGTCTTTTCACTTTGTTGGCAATTTCTTTTGATGTGCAAAAAGACCTCAATAAGAGGAGGGACCAGTCATGAATTCTTTCATATGTTACCCATGCGATGTGATTTTTGTTCATGAACTCTTTGGATACCCTTATCTCTTCAAGTGTTCTTCCTACTCTCTTCTAGGAGATTTAGTTTTTCCATTTTAATATTTAGATCTTTAAAACATTTTGACTTTAGTTTAGTGTATGGTGATAGACCTGGGTCAAGTTTTAGTTTTCATTATGTAGAGAGCCAGTGTTTCCAGCACCATTTGTTAAAGAGGCTATCTTTCTTCCAGTAAATATGTTTGGCCCCTTTGTCAAAGATAAGGTGGATGAGTGTGTTTGTAGAGGCTTCAGCATCTTCTAATCTATTCCATTGATCCTCAAGTCTATTTTATTGCCAATACCATGCTGATGTTATCATAGTAGCTTTGTAGTATAATTTCAAGTCAGGAATTGCAATACCTCCTGCCTTCTCTTTGTTGGCCAGGATTTCCTTTGCCATTCTTGGTCTTTTCTGGATCCAGATTAATTTTAGGAAAAATTTCTCTAGTCTGTGAGGTATGTTGATGGTAGTTTGACAGGGATTGCATTAAATTCGTATAGTAATTTTGGGAGGATGGCTGTCTTCAGAATGTTGGTTCTTCCTATCCAAGAGCATGGAATATCTCTTCATTTTCTGAAATCCTCTTTGATCTCTTTTTTAAGAGTACTGTAATTTTCCTTGATAAGATCTTTGACTTCTTTAGATTAAATCCAAGGTATTTCATTTTCCTCAGTGCCATTGAAAAAGGTATTTTTTTTCTATAATTTCCCTCACATTGTGTTTGTTATCTTTGTAGAGGAATGTTATTGACTTTTGGGTATTGACTTTGTATCCTGCTATGCTCCTGAATTTGTGTATTAATTCTCATAGTTTCTTGTTAGATTTTTTTGTGTCTTCCAAGTAAAGTATTATGTCCTCTGAAAAAATAATAATTTAGCTTCTTCTTTAACTATTCTTATTCCTTTTATTTCTGTCTCTTTTTAATGCCTCTAGCTAATGGTTCCAGAGCTATATTCAATAGGATTGGTGATAAACAACATCCTTGTCTTGTTCCGGATGTGAAAGTAAAACATTTCAGTGTTTCCCCATTTAGAATAATGTTATCTATTGAGTTGTCATAGATGGCTTTTTTACACTAAAGTATAGGCCATCTATTCCAATTATTTGTGGGACTTTGAACGTGAATGAGTGTTGGACTTTATCAAAAGAATTTTTTGTATCAATTGAGATTACCATGTGGTTTTTAGATTTGGCTCTATTGATATTGTATTACATTTATAGGTTTGCATATATTGAATCATCCTTGCATCCCTAGGATGAATCCTCCCTGGTTGTGGTATATGATCTTCTTGATGATTTGCTGTATTCTATTTGATAGGATTTTCTTGAGGATTTTTGCATCTATGTTCTTAAGGGAGATTGGCCTGCAGTTCTCATCTTTAGTTGTGAATTTCCCTAGTTTTGGTATCAGTATAATACTTAGCTCCAAGAATGATTTTGAGAGGATTGCATCCTTTTCAATTTCATTGAAGAGTTTGAGGAGTATAGGGATTATATCTTCTGTAAATTTCTTGTATAATTCAGCTGTGAATCCATCAGGACATGGACTTTTCTTTGTTGGTCTGTTTTTAT